GTCATTTAACTGACGGAAGGACTATTTTGGTACAAAAATGAAAGTTCGAGGATAATTTTGGTACTTTTTAAAGGTAAGGGACAATTTTGGTACCAAAGTGTAAAGTTGAGGGACTAAAATGGTACTTAAACCTTAAAAATATAATTAAATTTAAATTTTAAAACCAAGTTCCAAGCAGATGATACAGAGAAAAATGAACAAGGGAAACGAGATTAGATTTTGATGGAAGAGGAGTGCTAGGGGCACTCCCCTCCTGCACTCTCTGGCCAACATTTTCACTTTTATTGGGCCACGTTATTTCGGTCAGCAAGAGGTTGCGCTTCAAAGCTGAAAACAAGCTTACGTGGCCCAATGAAAGGGGAAGTGTTGGCCGGAGAGTGCAAGAGACGAGTGCCCCTAGGACTGCTCTTGATGGAATCCAATATTGAAAACTTTTCCGGAACAGAAATGCGGAAGGCAGAAGAAGAGAATGAGGCTTCTTGGACTCGAAGCTTTCATTTTTAATTAATGATTTATAATTTTTTTAAATTTTAAATTGTATAATAAAAAATAATTTTAATTTATTTAATTTATATATTATCTAATTTAAATTTAAAATTTTTTATTTTTAATAAAAATTATTATTAAATTATTTAAATTATTATCAATAACTTATAAATTTCCCCCTAAGTTTTTGTAATTGAATCAGTTAGTAAAGCTCGACCATTTTAACTACCTACTTCTAAGTATTAGGTCCCACAATTTATAAATAATATCATTGTAAACTGTTTTTATTTTTTGAAAACAAGGACAGTTATTTATTATTATTATTATTATTATTATTTAGTAATTTTTTAATAATGGGTAAAGGAAAGGGGAGCTGGGCAACGAACACTATACACCCTAGTTTATTTTTACTAATAGAGAGTGATTTCACTCCACTTATCACCTGGATAATATAATCCTTTATCATAGCGGATAGTTAACATTATTAATCTACTACTGTTTCTCTTTACTTGGATATTTTTATAAAATTTTTGAATTTATATAGTTTACGTTGTTAAAATATAAATTAAAAATATAATAAATATATTTTTTTATAATCAATTTATATTATAAATAAATTATAAAAATTGATATATATTTTAATTTATATATTTGAATACTATTATTATATGAATAATTTTAATTAATTAATTAAATTTAAAAAATATTTATATTATTAATTAAATTTAATTATAAAAATATATTTATTATAATTTTATCTTATTTTTCAAAACATAATATAAAAAAACTTAAAATTTTTTTATTAAAAAAAAATGAGCCCTCTTCGTTTCATCAATTTGTGATTCCATTAATAGCTGTCATGTCCTCATGTCTAGAGGAGGTTTCAAGGACACATTTCACATGGCGCTTAGCTCTAGACTCTCACTGACTAATCTACAGCGTCTGATGCTGGTAAATAAGTATACATTTCCATCCACTCTATAATTGTACACCCATACAGTGACATACTAACATTTTCTGTTTTCTATGGGCTAATAATCGCTTTTTTTACTAATGAGGGTTCGATCAAGTGTTAAACAGTTTGTTTTAATTTAAGTAAAATTTTGAGTTTGAGATTTTACGTACGCAACAACCTTTGTTAGGAGACTCACCTATCATTTCTAGGTATACGAGCCAGATCGATCCAGATTAATCGAGGTGAAACCCCGAGTACTGGACGAGAAACTAAAAAAAATAATCGCTTTTTTTGTTTTTAACTGAAGTGTTTTTTTTTTTTGGTACATGTTTTTAACTGAAGTTTAAAGACTAATAATTGCTTTTTCTGAATTGTTTTTCCGACCTTTTCCATAAAGTTTTTCCCTGCTCGGCTTTGCTGGAAGGCGGGCGATTCCACATTTCCACTAACATTTTGAAAAGCGGCTATGCTATTGCTGACAGAGAAAGGAACCCCGAGGCAGGAGAAACTATCTGAGGAAAGAGAAACAATGGAAGTAAAAGGGATAATCTATGCGTTACCTTTAAGGTAAGGTACAAGGTCAGAAATATTAATTATATTATAATTATTATTTTTTATTTTAAAAATAATAAAATTAATTTTATTTTAATTACAAATATCATATATTAAATTTTAATTAATTAATTTTAAATTAAAAATTAAAAGTTATATAAAATTTTATTTTTTAAAATAAATTTATAATATTATTTTATAATAACTTCTTATCTTATGTCTTTAAAGCATAAGATAGATAAATTTAAAGTAAAAAAATCACAACATTATACCAAATTATAGTAATGATAAAATTAAAATAATATATTTATAACATTATTTTGTAATATTCATGTGATAATATATACTAATTTACGTAGTTGAGTAAAAACTTTTATCATAAATAAAATTATGGTGGCTGATTTAACTAATAAAAATAGAATTATAGACAAAATTGAAATGTTTTAAAAATTCAAATACATGCCAAGACTTACGTTTTAGCGTTTAAAACGACAGAATATTTTTTAATGATAAATGCGCATATTCATTCATAATCTAATCGAGTGATATTTATCATGCATCTTCTTGAAAATATTATCTTTTGACTTTCTCATGGACGTGCTTACTACTTCTTTATTATTATATATATATTTTTTGCAATTCTACTAACATTTTGAGAAAGTGACTGCTATAGAAAAAATGGAAAAAAAATCAACGATTTATTGATTCGAAAGAAAAGAATTTGTTTTTTTTTTTAAATAAGATCTTGACCTCAAATTTTGAAAATGAAAAAACAAATATTGAAAAAGCTTTTCCTAATATGAGATTTGACGTAATTCGATTTTGAATTAGTTGAAATTCAATGTAATTACCGTAGATAATATATATTAATTTACATAATTATAAGGCAATATACCATGACATTTCTTCACTATGGCTATGCATACTCATTTATAATTCATAATTGAGTGAGTGGCATTTGTTATGTATCTTCATGCAAATATCCTCTTGACTTTCTCGTTGACTTGCCTACTCTTTCAAGGTCTTGCTTGGAACGCGATTTTTTTGGAAAAAGAGTGGCAGGATATTTCTTGATGATGATAACTGTTCATAATCATTCATAATTGGAAGCTGATGGGCTTACCCATTTTTATTTCACACTCTGTTACACACACTCTTTTCCGGTTACTATTCGTTATTATCCGTTACTCTCCATTATTTTATGTTAAGCACCCAACCCAGCTTTCATTTTCTCTCTCCTTTCCTTTCTCCTTCTTACTGTTCACCATCCTCCTTACTTATCAAAGCCATCAAAAATCATGATAATCATCAGCCTCTTGAGCTCAGAAAACATCTCTCCTCTTCACCCAACATTCTTTGATTTTCAACCTTCTTCCTTCATTTCCCTCCTCCTCCTTTTTTTTTCTTCTTCTTTCTCTCTCCTCCCCTCTTCTTTTTTCTCTTCCCTCCTCCTTATCTGTTGAAGGTGAACCCTGATCTGGGTTCTCCCTTCACCCAGCATTTTTTGATTTTCAACCTTCTCCCTTCACCCAGCATTCTTTGATTTTCAACCTTCTTCCTTCTTTTCCCTCCTCTTCCTTTTTTTACATCTTCTTCCCCTCTTCTTCCTTCTCTTCCCCCCTCTTTATCTATTGAAGGTGAACCCAGATTTGGGCTCTGGAAAACCTAGATCGAGTTCTCCAAGAGAACTTAGGAGAAAAAAAAAAAAGAGAAAGAAGGGGGGAAGAAGGAGAGAGGAAAGGAGAGAGAAAGAAAGAGTTGGGTGAGTGGGAGACCGTTAGTCAATATAACGAAAACGTTAGAGTGTGTATGGGGTGTGTAACGGCACGGTGTAGATGAATCATTACCCTTCATAATTTAGCAGCATTTTTTTTATGATCTTCTTGGAAATATCCCCTTGACTTTTGCCTACAGCTTTAAATTCCTTTTTGGTGTAAATGGAAAATTTTATAAATAGATTAATTAAAATTTAAAAATATTAGTTTAATACACAAAATAATCATTTTGATATATACTGTAAGAGTATAAAGAAGCACAAAAATAAGAACAAAATCATGAGGTGAAGAAAGGAATACGAGGCAGGGAAAAACTCAAATAAAGAGATATATAACTAGCAACGCAGAAGTGGGTGAGAAAAAAAAAAAGAACGGAGGCTTAGAAAATACAACTCATTATTCTAACAGATCACTTAAGATATATATGAAGTCAAATTAACACAATTAAAATAAATCATAAAAGATATATTTTAAACACAAGTTTGATTTAAGTGTCAATAAATTTGACCTATGACCCCTTATATCAATTCTTAGCTATGCCACTGGTTTATATTGTATTATTATTAATAATAAAAATAATATAATTGTAATATTATAAAAAATTATAAGAATCAATCATATCAAGATACA